AGACAAATTATTTGACAGTTGTGCCTCAGTTTTTCTTCATCTCCAAGTGGGAGGTCATATAAAGACTATTTGAAATGCTAAGTACATGCAATAGATATCTCCTTCAATAAAGGAACCAGGTTGAGCCTGTGTAGGGCAGAAGTTATGTACTCACCACAATTTTGCCTTCTATTTGTCTTCCTTAGAGCATGACCATACAGTGTTGCCCTCACCTGTCTTTCTGAGAGCTTGATTATTCCTGATGGAAAGTCCTTCTTCCAGGCCAGAGTTTGTTTTGGTTGGAAGACATATTCTCACATCTTGTAATATCTTCTTCAGGCTGTAGCAGTAGTAGTATCTTCTGCTACTATTTCTCATGTTTTTTCTTTATTTTTTTTGTGGAACCTGGGATTGAACTCAGACTCTTGCACTTGCCAGGGAAGCACTTATTCCACGGAGCCATCTCCCCGGCCCCTCTCATGTTTTTTCAAAGGCCAGAAGGATGGCTTTCAGCCAGCAAAAGATTTGTCTGGGCTGATGATGGACAAAGCAATAATTTAGGAAAAGAGTGATGTACATCCTGTGATTGTGACAGCTTTGCCCCATTCATTGCTCTATCTCTAGAACATGAAGGATGCCTGATAACATACGAGGTGCAGGCCAGGCATAGTGGTACATCCTGTAATCCCAGCACTTGGGAAGCTTAAAAAGGATTGCTGCAAATTCAGAGCCAGGTTGGGCTACATGTATAGTGAGACCCAATGTCAGACAAACAACACAAAAAGAGCCTAAAAGGTGCTTTATCATGTATATTCAATAACTAAAAAGCCCATGCAGTGGTGGCCCATGCCTCTAATTCTAACACTTTGGGAATGTCAGGCAGGAGGACTGAACTCAAACTGGAAGTTTGAGCTTAGCTTGGGCAATTTAATGGTTTAGTGAGATCCTGTCTCTAAATACAAAATAAAAACAGGGCTGAAGGTTCGACTCAGTGAGAAGGCTCTAGGTTCTTTTTTTTTTTTTTTTTT